ACAGGCCGGGCAGTGAGCATGTGTGTCTTCTCTGCTTCCAGGGACACTGAGATCGATGACCTGAAGACGCAGCTGTCGCGCATGCAGGAGGACTGGATCGAGGAGGAGTGCCACCGTGTGGAGGCGCAGCTGGCCCTGAAGGAGGCGCGCAAGGAGATCAAGCAGCTCAAGCAGGTCATCGACACTGTCAAGAACAACCTGATCGACAAGGACAAGGGGCTGCAGAAGTACTTCGTGGACATCAACATTCAGAACAAGAAGCTGGAGACGCTGCTGCACAGCATGGAAGTGGCCCAGAATGGCACAGCCAAGGAAGACGGTGCTGGGGAGTCGGCCGGCGGGTCCCCGGCCCGCTCCCTCACCCGCAGCTCCACCTACACCAAGCTGAGTGACCCTGCTGTCTGTGGCGACCGACCCCCTGGCGACCACCCCGGGGCCTCTGCAGAGGACGGGGCCGACAGCGGTTTCGCGGGGCCCGAGGACACGCTGAGCCGGACGGACGCGCTGGAGGCCAGCAGCCTGCTGTCATCGGGGGTGGACTGCGGCCCCGAGGAGGGCTCGTTGCACAGCAGCTTTGGCCTGGGCCCCCGCTTCCCCGCCAGCAACACCTACGAGAAGCTTCTGTGTGGCCTGGAGGCCGGCGTTCAGGCCAGCTGCATGCAGGAGCGCGCCATCCAGACGGACTTCGTGCAGTACCAGCCGGACCTGGACGCCATCCTGGAGAAAGTGACCCAGGCCCAGGTCTGCGGAGCAGTCCCTGAATCAGGGGACAGGGGCCCAGAGCCGGAGCCCCACCCCCCAGGGCCCAAAGACTGCAACTCCGCCGTGGTGGTGATGGTGGGGGATGAGCTAGAGGCCCCGGAGCCCATCACCCAGGGGCCGAGCCCACACCGGCCCGGTGCCAACCCCAGCCCAGGCCCATCGGTGAGTGTGGCATGCCCCGTGGAAGAGGAGGAGGAGGTGGCCGCTGAGAAGGAACCCAAGAGCTACTGGAGCCGCCACTACATCGTGGATCTGCTGGCCGTGGTGGTACCGGCCGTGCCCACGGTGGCCTGGCTGTGCCGCTCCCAGCGGCGCCAGGGCCAGCCCATTTACAACATCAGCTCCCTGCTGAGGGGCTGCTGCACTGTGGCCTTGCACTCCATCCGCAGGATCAGCTGCCGCTCGCTGGGCCAGCAGGGTCCAAGCCAGGCGGCCGGCAGCTCCCGGCTGTGAGCGTGTGTGGCCCCGGCCAGCGGCTCTGTCGGCCTGACCAGTGATCGTAGGGGTGCCGCTCTCCTCCTGCTCATGCCCCGGGGGCCTCAGCTGCTTGATTTAGTTTCGGGTAGGGGATGTGAACAGTGTCGGGGGCTGGGGGTCGGGGTTGGGGGAAGGCACCCCAAACTGTGATAGGAGACAAGGGAAGAAAGACCAAAGGCAGAGAGGCACACGGAAGGGACACATTGCAGAGAGAGGAGGTGGGGAGGTCCCCCAACCCAGCCCTGTCCACCTGGACCTTCACACAGGGCCGCCCGCCCCTGCCCAGAAGTCCCGGGGTGTCGATGTGGGGAGGCCGGGCCTGAGGTGCCCAGGGGAGCCTCCCCACCCCCACCCCGGGTCCCATCCCATTGCTGCCCATCCAAGTCTCCTCCCCAGCTGCCCCCTGCCCTCAGTCCAGCCTTCTGGGCCAGTATTACCTCCTTGTGTGGAGGCAGCTGCCGCCCAGAGTACACGCTACCGGCCCAGGACTCTCAGCAGGGTCTGCAACCCCTGGGCCCCAGCTGCAGTTCTAGCATCTTCCAGCTGCTCCCCGCTTTGGGATTCGGAAGTGTAGTCAGGCCACAGGCATGGGCCGGTGGAAAGACGGTGATGGGCAAGAGGCGGCAGAGCGCAGTGTGGCTTCTGTGTCTGTCTGTCCGAGACCTTCCCCAGGCTCCGTTTCCCTCTCCGCGCTTCTGGCTGTGTCAGATCGTTCTTCCTGTGAGAGCTGAGCCAGACAGGCTAGTGCTGGGGCTGGAGCCTCTGCCAGCCAGAGAGGAGGAGGCAGGGGCTGGCAGTTCAGGGGCGCTCCTCCAGCCTTCTGAGACAAGGTCCGGCAGTCTGGCAGGAGGGCTGGACTCGGCAATCCTCCGCTGGTTTGAGAAGCTAGAGGCCATGACGGCCCCTGAAGCTCAGCCCGAGTTTCACTGGGGACCTCGGGTCCAGCTTCCACTTTGCACTATGTTCACTTTGGGGCTTGGCTCTCATGCGCCCCAGCATCTCCACTGAGGGGCTGCTTGCATTCTAGTGAGGGCTCCTAAACTTAGACCTAGCTGCCTCTGGAGGAAAGCCAGCACGATGGACGGCAAGATGGGATACGGAAGCCATGATGTTTGTCCAGGCCAAAGCAGGGCACCCGGGTCATCTCCCAGGCAAGGACGGAACAGGGCAGGCCGGAGCCCTGCGGCCTCCCTGCTCACAGCCCTGAGGCCACTTGGCCTGGGAAGCTTTACTGCCCCCCTCCTTCCCTGGGACCCGACATTGGGTCCCCCAGCAAAGCTGCTGGCCTTTTACCACCACTATTATTTGACAAAGTAAACCCGCTCCTTCTCTCCTGTGGGGCTTATACCCGTCTGATGGCCCCTCCCACTCTTCAGAGATTAGGCCCCACGTTGGGGGCAGGTGGCGCTGGCGGGACCCTGTATCTTACTCATTCCTCTGGCCCTGGGGCCACTCTGGTTCTCTGCCAAGGTTGCTCACCGGCCCCCGCTGCTCCCACAGCCGCCGCCTGAGTTGGGGGCTCCGCCTTTCTTCTCTGCACCCTCCAATCAAAGGGGGGGCCCTGCATGCACTGGGAGTGGGCAGCCAGCTCAGCCATGGGGCCGGCAGCCCCCTCTGCCACATGCTTTGTGCCTCCAAAGCCTCCTTCCCCTGGCTGGGACCTCAGACCACCCGTCCTTTGCAGAGCACCACCACCCCAGCCGAAGCGCACCTGAAGTCCTGGGGCCTGGCTGGGGCTGCCCCACAGACGCTGGGGTTGTGCCATGGAGGGGCCGTGGACACACCCAATCCAAAGCCAAGCCGGGCCTGGCCGTGGACCCCGCCTCCCGTGCTGTGCACTCACGGAGCTGCGTAGCGTCTCCTTAGAAATAGTCCAAGCTTTGCCAAGAAAATAAATGTCTGACTATATTTGACAACATGAAATCTATATATTTTTCACACTGGAATTCAGTCAAGCCACATAGCCCCTCTGCTTCTGTCTGTGTCTTGCTCTCTGTGGCCTTCTTGTCGTGTCTCGTGTTTCAGTGGTCGGGGCCGTAGTCCGCTGGGTCCCACTGGAGGTCCCAGTGAAGGGCCGTGCCCGAGGTGAGTGGGGCCGCTGCTCAGGGTTGCGGAGCCCTCGCCCACAACGTTAAGGCTCTTCTCTCTTGGGGCCCTCAACGGGCATTTCTTTCTCGTGTCAGTGGAGGCGGTAGCTCTGCACCCGGCCCCGGGATGGACCCCGAGAGCACGCCAGCTGGCGGCCCTCGTCCAGCCCTCCATGTGCCCACTGTGTGTGCTCAGTGTCCGTATCTATGCAAAGTGGGCAGCGTGGCGCCTGAGGCTCAGAGTGAGCGGGGAAGCACAGCGGCCTGCTGGCTCGGGCTCCCGGCCCCAGTACCGCAGGGCACTGAGTGTGGGGCAGGAGGGCAAGGCCAAGGCCAGGGGACTGCCCCCCTCTAGTGCTCCTCCTCCAAAGCTCCCCTTTTTCCTTCTTGCTTCATATCTCCTCCTGCTGGGCTCTGGCCTTGCCTCCTGCCCTCGGCTCCTGGAGCAGAAATCGTTGGAGGGCAGGGGGCCTCCCTCCACCGTCTGGCCTCGGGCTGGAGCTGATTCCCTCCCACAGGACATTTCCCCAGGAAGCACCTGCTGAGCTGCTGGTCCCTTGGAGCCCAGGGGGCCGGAAGTGGCTTCTGCTCAGTCATAGGGCCTGGGTCTGGGCCTTCCTGCTGCTCCTCTGGCTCTGGGCTCAGGCAGGAATCAAAGCATGGGCTGGGACTCTGCACACAGAGCTGGCCTCCTGCGGAGTTTATTCCGAGCATCTCCCAAGGGGAGAACTTAGCTTTTCACTGACCAGGCTTCCCAGGCACTGTTAGCAACGGGGCGTCTGACAGTGCCTGGGGAGGGGCAGCCCTGCTGATGTTCTGGGGCCTACCGACGGCCTGAGCCTGGGGAACTCCTGACCCCCTTCTCTGACCCAGGGGGACAGTACCAACAAGTCACAGCACACTCTCCCATTCAGCCATCCCCTCGATGGAGAAGTCAGGGGGTATGGGAAAGGGGGAGGTGGTGAGGGTCTTCATTTTGTCTCCTTTGTCCTGTTCAGACAGAGTTGTACCCGCAGCAGACAGCTCTGAATTAAAGCATGAAAACACAGCAAGCCCCTTGGCCTGTTTTCTTTACACCGTGTTTCCCTGCCCGCACCCCCGAGGAGGGATGCAAGGGGCTCAAACCATCCCTGCCAAGCTGGGAGGCACAGTGGACACACAGGGAAGGGCTGAGGGGAAAGAGCTCCCTTCTGAAGTGGAGGGAACCAGAGAGCCGCGTGCTGGCTCAGCACCGCCGTGTGCCTATTGCAGCATGGGACAGTCACTCCCGTCCTGGGTCCCACAAAGGATCTAGGATCTAGAAGGGCCTCCCCTGTGCCCCCCACCCGCCCGCAAGGGTCAGCCCTGCTGGGCCTTCCAGTGCACTGCAGGCCCTCCGGCACCCCTGAAGTGGGCTTCCTATCCGCTCCACAGATGTGGAAGCAGGCCGAGCAGGGGTGCTCTGAGGCCAGTGTCCCTCCTCCGGAGTCCCACACGGCTCCCCCTCTCCAGGCCAAATCTCTGCTCTCAGAGACCACGTGTCACCTCTGCTTAGAAGAAAACCAGGCCTGGCATGTCATGGGACCAAGGATTCTGGAATTTTCGATTACTTTTGAAGAGGGCTTGTATTTAAAATCCCATCTATTCAAAAGCAGTGGTACTATGTACAATTTGTGACACATAGCAAGCCAAGAGAAAAAAAAATTAACAAAGAACGAAGTTGTGTTCTCTCAAAATGTGAAACTGTTTTGCTGGTAGAGGCAGCAAAAATCTTACAAGGGACCCAGTGGCAACTTTAAGAAGTGTTTGGCCAGCCTGCCTACGTGCCCCGCATTTCAACCGGCACAGGGAGTCACTGCCTATGGGACCCTGTGCAGCTCCCAGCCGGAGGCCCTGAGGGGGCCTGTGCCTCAGTGGCTGCCCAACCGGAAGGTGCCCCCTCAGGACAGCCCTGGCCTGGCAGCCGGCCTCCCCCAGCATCTAGGACTCGCCCTTTCCTGCAGGAGGGTGGGAGGCTAGGACGGCTGAGCTTCTCTCTCCTGGCTTCAGACGGCTGGGATAGAGTGGTCCATGGTGTGGTGCAGCAGGGTGGGGGACAACCTAGATACAGCAACAGGGACAGTCGCCAAAACTGGCAGGAGGTGCCCCTCCTCCCAGCCAGCCAGGGCATCCCCCACAGGGCCTTCATTTCCATTTCTAAGACTCTCAGGGCTCACACTGGGAGCCATCAGCCAAGGGGAAGGGAGGACGCTGAACCCAGTGTGTGCCCTCCTGGCTTTGTTGGGGGGAGGTGGGGAGGTGAGGGGGAAAGCAAGAGGGGGACAGCCTTACTTTTTGACCATGTGCTCGTAGATCACGGTGGGGAGGACAGTCAAGGTGACAACATTCCCGGCCATGGCCAGAATCTCTGTGACCTCTTTGTCCTGGAGAGGAGGTGAGGGAGCAGTCACCCTGCGGCCAGGTGTGACTCTGAGGCCCCTCTGCAGTGGGGGGTGCAGGAGGGGGGTCAGCAAGGCCCTGGCTAAAGGACCCTGCTGCCATCAGGTGAGGGTCCCAGGCAAACACCAGGAGAAGACTTGTTTGAGCAAGAATGTAAGGCCCCTGACCAGGTCAGGTCTCTGCAGTAAAGATGAGCACGCTCCCCACCCCAAAGGCCAGTGTGTGGGAGTCAGTCACACGCGGGCTCTGGCCCCAAAGCACAAGAAAAGTTACCCTGCCGTGGGGGCCGTCAGGTGCACGACCCAGCCACTGGTCTAAAATCTTCTTATTATGGGGAATGTGAGCCGGTATCACCAGGGAGGGAGGAGGGAGGAGGGAGGTTTCTGCGCAGCCAGCAGCCCCCTCCCCGGACACCCTGTCCTGGCAGTGCTCGCCCTCACCCCACCCCACCGCTCCTCTGGCTGCCAGGCAATAGCTTGTATGTACTGAGCATTTCCCGTGGGCTTGGCCCTGTGCTCAGAGCTCTACCTCCCTCATCTTAGAGAGCCCTCACAGCAGGCTTGGAGAGGGACAGCAGCCCGCCCTCGGGCACGAACCTTCCCTCCAAGCGGCCAGCTCTCAGCCCCTGCAGCTCCCACGGGCCTACCTTCAGCCCAACGACGTTCTGCCCGTTCAGCTCACACACGGCGTGGTTGGTGAGGAGCCCGTTGTGGGCCGCAGAACTCCCTTTGACCACAGACACCACCTTTCCCTTCTTGAGGACAGCGCCAATGTGGCCCACGCTGTCCTTGTGCAGGGTGACGGTCCGCTGGAAGGGCCTGCTGGGAAGAGACAGTGAGCTGGGCCAGGGACGTGGCTGGAGGCAGAGAGGGAGGCTGGGAGCCTGGCTACCCACCTGTCCCGAACGACCGTGATGATCTTCTCGGCCGACGCCCTCTTCAGCACCTGGTGGGCTCTGTCCGTGCTCCACCCGGTACAGTCTCGCCCGTCAACCTGCAGGATCTGATCCCCGAAGCGTAGCCCCAGGAGAGACGCAGGGCTGTGGGCCTTCACCAGCTGCACAAAGAGCCCCTGGAGGAGGAAGGACCCTGACATCAGCTGTGCAGCCCACTCTGAGCCCAGGTCCCTCCTGCCGCTGTTTTCCTGATGGTCTAGGAGCTATAGCTCTGTGCAGGCAGGACAGGGGTTACCGCATTTGCCTGGGGAGGAAACGTTCCAGGCCACATAGCCAGGGAGCAGTTGAGTCAGGCTTTCAACCCTAGCTGGAGGCTACACCCCCAGTCCTTGGACTGCCTAGCTTCTTACGATGGCATTAGCACCCCTGGCTTCCCCTGTCTACAGACAGCTGCCTGGAACCCACAACCCTCTGATGGAGGGGAGTGGGGAAGGAGCAGTAGGAACCCAGAAGGGGGTAGGTGGAGGGTCCCTGCTGCTAGAACCAGCACCAGCCCTGAGACCTTGGGGGATGGAGGTTGAGAGGAGGAACCTGAGCCTGAGGTTTGGTAGGCCTCGGCTCCCCCGCCTGCTCTGCACCTTCCTTACTGTGGACTAGGCCCACTTTGCCCCCTCCCAGACTGGTGGCGGATGCGTGGGGGGGAAGCCCCCACCTCTCCTGCCCAACCCCCAGCCCTACCTGGTCAATGGCCTTCAGCCGCAGCCCTGTCTTGCCATGCTCGTCCTTGCACAGGTGGATCTCACGTACCCCAGGCTTGATCTCTGCACGCCGTGTGCCAAGGCTGTTCCCAGACAGTGGTGCCACCAGCTGGCCCGGTGAGGGCCCAGAGCTCACTGTCTGCAGACACCAGGGTGGGGTTAGCTGGCCTCTGGGGCCTCATCAGGATGGAGAAAGAAGAATGTAGTCCCTGGGCCCTATCCCATCCCCAAACTACACTCTTCTCTGCAGGGGCTGCTAGGGGACATGACTCCATGAAGCCACTAGGGGGCATCAAAGACTGTGCCCCTGAAAAAATGGCCAGGAAAATGAGGGCAGAGAGAGGATGGGTATACGGAAAAGGGACCTTCATTTTGCAAGGCACATTGGGATCAGGAGAAGACCATTTTAAAATCGAACTAAAAATACAACAAAATTTTTCAGCAAATGAGGAGCAATCAGGGGGACAAAGGACTTGATTTTTGCCTTGAAAAAAAAAAATGTTAGCAAGAAGTATAAAAATGAATGCCTTCCCCCCGCCTAAAGCCCAGAACAAGTCAGGATGTCACTCTCACCACTACTATTAAATACAGTACTGGAATAACTAGCCAGAGCAATATGGCACGAAAAGGAAATAAAAGGCATACGGATTGGAAAAGAAATATTTGAAGATGATGTGATAACCTAACAGGAAATTCCGAGGAATCTATAAACTCCTGAAACTATTAAGCAAGTTCAGCAAGGTCACAGGATACAAGATCAATACACAAAAACCAACTTTACTTTTTATACACTAATAGCATGCACATAGAAACTGAAATTAAAAGTACACTACCGGGAGGAGGAGTCAAGATGGCGGAGAAGGAGCAGCTGAGACTACTTCAGGTAGCGGGAGATCAGCTAGATAGCTTATGTAAAGATTGCAAACACCTACAAATCCAACGGGAGATCGAAGAGAAGAAGAACAGCAATTCTAGAAACAGAAAATCAACCACTTTCTGAAAGGTAGGACTGGCGGAGAAGTGAATCCAAAGCAACGGGAAGATAGACCGCGGGGGGAGGGGCCGGCTCCCGGCAAGCGGCGGAGCAACGGAGCACAAAATCAGGACTTTTAAAAGTCTGTTCCGCTGAGGGACATCGCTCCAGAGGCTTAACCGGGGTGAAGCCCACGCGGGGTCAGTGTGGCCTCAGGACCTGCAGGGTCACAGAAGGATCGGGGGTGTCTGAGTGTCGCAGAGCTTGCAGGTATTAGAACGGGGAAGCCGGCTACAGAGAGCTGAGGAGTGACTCTCAGCTCGGGGTTACCTTGAACCGTTCGCAGGCTCGGTCAGCTCAGAGCGCGGCCCGAGGCCAGGGTGACAGGAGTAATTGGGTGCTATTCTCTGAGGGCGCACTGAGGAGTGGGGCCCCGGGCTCTCGGCTCCTCCGGGCCGGAGACTGGGAGGCCGCCATCTTCATTCCCGGCCTCCGGAACTCTACGGAAAGCGCGCAGGGAACAAAAGCTCCCGAAAGCAAACCCGAGCAGATCACTCAGCCTGGCCCCTGGTAAGGGCGGTGCAACTCCGCCTGGGGCAGAGACACTTGAGAATCACTACAACAGGCCCCTCCCCCAGAAGATCAACAAGAAACCCAGCCAGGACCAAGTTCACTTACAAGGAGTGCAGTTTCAATACCAAGGAGAGCAGCGGAATTCCAGAGGAGGAGAAAGCAAAGCACGGAACTCATGGCTTTCTCCCCATGATTCTTTAGCCTTGCAGTTAATTTAATTTTTTTTCTTTTTCAATTTTTTTTCTCTTCTTCTGCTAAATTTTTTTAACTTTTACCCTTTTCTTTTTTAATGTTTTTTAACTAGTTTATCTAATATATATATATTTTTTCCTTTTTATATTTTTTCATTATTGGTTTTCTTTTTTTATTTGTTTCCTTTTTCTTTTTTCTTTTTTTTTTTCTTTCTGAACTTCTTTTTATCCTCTTCCCCCCCCCCCCAACGATTTGGGATCTCTTCTGATTTGGCTAAAGCATATTTTCCTGGGGTTGTTGCCACCCTTTTAGTATTTTACTTGTTCCTTCATATACTCTTATCTGGACAAAATGACAAGGCAGAAAAATTCATCACAAAAAAAAGAACAAGAGGCAGTACCAAAGGCTAGGGACCTAATCAATACAGACATTGGTAATATGTCAGATCTAGAGTTCAGAATGACGATTCTCAAGGTTCTAGCTGGGCTCGAAAAAGGCATGGAAGATATTAGAGAAACCCTCTCGGGAGATATAAAAGCCCTTTCTGGAGAAATAAAAGAACTAAAATCTAATCAAGTTGAAATAAAAAAAGCTATTAATGAGGTGCAATCAAAAATGGAGGCTCTCACTGCTAGGATAAATGAGGCAGAAGAAAGAATTAGTGATATAGAAGACCAAATGACAGAGAATAAAGAAGCTGAGCAAAAGAGGGACAAACAGCTACTGGACCATGAGGGCAGAATTCGAGAGATAAGTGACACCATAAGATGAGACAACATTAGAATAATTGGGATTCCAGAAGAAGAAGAAAGAGAGAGGGGAGCAGAAGGTATATTGGAGAGAATTATTGGAGAGAATTTCCCCAATATGGCAAAGGGAACAAGCATCAAAATCCAGGAGGTTCAGAGAACCCCACTCAAAATCAATAAGAATAGGTCCACACCCCGCCACCTAATAGTAAAATTTACAAGTCTTAGTGACAAAGAGAAAATCCTGAAAGCAGCCCGGGAGAAGAAGTCTGTAACATACAATGGTAAAAATATTAGATTGGCAGCAGACTTATCCACAGAGACCTGGCAGGCCAGAAAGAGCTGGCATGATATATTCAGAGTACTAAACGAGAAAAACATGCAGCCAAGAATACTATATCCAGCTAGGCTATCATTGAAAATAGAAAGAGAGATTAAAAGCTTCCAGGACAAACAAAAACTGAAAGAATTTGCAAACATCAAGCCAGCTCTACAGGAAATATTGAAAGGGGTCCTCTAAGCAAAGAGAGAGCCTAAAAGTAGTAGATCAGAAAGGAACAGAAACAATATACAATAACAGTCACCTTACAGGCAATACAATGGCACTAAATTCATATCTCTCAATAGTTACCCTGAATGTTAATGGGCTAAATGCACCAATCAAAAGACACAGGGTATCAGAATGGTTAAAAAAACAAAGCCCATCTATATGTTGCCTACAAGAAACTCATTTTAAACCCGAAGACACCTTCAGATTTAAAGTGAGGGGGTGGAAAAGAATTTACCATGCTAATGGACATCAGAAGGAAGGAGGAGTGGCAATCCTTATATCAGAACAATTAGATTTTAAGCCAAAGACTATAATAAGAGATGAGGAAGGACACTATATCATACTCAAAGGGTCTGTCCAACAAGAAGATCTAACAATTGTAAATATCTATGCCCCTAACGTGGGAGCAGCCAACTATATAAACCAATTAATAACAAAATCAAACACATCGACAATAATACAATAATGAGGGGACTTTAACACTCCCCTCACTGAAATGGACAGATCATCCAAGCAAAAGATCAACAAGGAAATAAAGGCCTTAAATGACACACTGGACCAGATGGATATCACAGATATATTCAGAACATTTCATCCCAAAGCAACAGAATACACATTCTTCTCTAGTGCACATGGAACATTCTCCAGAATAGATCACATCCTCGGTCCTAAATCAGGTCTCAACCGGTATCAAAAGACTGGGACATTCCCTGCATATTTTCAGACCACAATGCTCTGAAGCTAGAACTCAATCACAAGAGGAAATTTGGAAAGAACCCAAATACATGGAGACTAAACAGCATCCTTCTAAAGAATGAATGGGTCAATCAGGAAATTAAAGAAGAATTGAAAAAATTCATGGAAACAAATGATAATGAAAATACAATGGTTCAAAATCTGTGGGACACATCAAAGGCAGTCCTGAGAGGAAAATACATAGCGGTACAAGCCTTTCTCAAGAAACAAGAAAGGTCTCAGGTACACAACCTAACCCTACACCTAAAGGAGCTGGAGAAAGAACAAGAAAGAAACCCTAAACCCAGCAGGAGAAGAGAAATCATAAAGATCAGAGCAGAAATCAATGAAATAGAAACCAAAAAAACAATAGAACAAATCAACGAAACTAGGAGCTGTTTCTTTGAAAGAATTAATAAGATTGATAAACCCCTGGCCAGACTTATCAAAAAGAAAAGAGAAAGGACCCAAATAAATAAAATCATGAATGAAAGAGGTGAGATCACAACTAACACCAATGAAATACAGACAATTATAAGAACATATTATGAGCAACTCTATGCCAACAAGTTTGACAATCTGGAAGAAATGGATGCATTCCTAGAGACATATAAACTACCACAACTGAACCAGGAAGAAATAGAAAGCCTGAACAGACCCATAACCAGTAAGGAGATTGAAACAGTCATCAAAAATCTCCAAATAAACAAAAGCCCAGGGCCAGATGGCTTCCCGGGGGAATTCTACCAAACATTTAAAGAAGAACTAATTCCTATTCTCCTGAAACTGTTCCAAAAAATAGAAATGGAAGGAAAACTTCCAAACTCATTTTATGAGGCCAGCATCACCTTGATCCCAAAACCAGACAAGGATCCCATCAAAAAAGAGAACTATAGACCAATATCCTTGATGAACACAGATGCAAAAATTCTCACCAAAATACTAGCCAATAGGATTCAACAGTACATTAAAAGGATTATTCACCACGACCAAGTGGGATTTATTCCAGGGCTGCAAGGTTGGTTCAACATCCGCAAATCAATCAATGTGATAAAACACATTAATAAAAGAAAGAACAGGAACCATATGATATTCTCAATAGATGCTGAAAAAGCATTTGACAAAGTACAGCATCCCCTCCTGATCAAAACTCTTCAAAGTGTAGGGATAGAGGGCACATACCTCAATATTATCAAAGCCATCTATAAAAAACCCATTGCAAATATCATTCTTAATGGAGAAAAACTGAAAGCTTTTCCTCTAAGGTCAGGAACACGGCAGGGATGTCCGTTATCACCACTGCTATTCAACATAGTACTAGAAGTCCTAGCCTCAGCAATCAGACAACAAAAAGAAATTAAAGGCAT